GCAACAACGACGTTGTCATGGATTTGAAGTAAAACAACAACAAGCTGTTAAAAGAAAACGCAAGTTTTTAGTGAGCGCTACGGAATAACCAGGTCCCTTATGCAGTTCAACCTGACAATTTATGATAGCTGAAGCTGCTGTAGCTGTTCATCATTTTTTCTAACGTAACAGAAAAAGCGGCATTGTATACTAACCAGACCACCGTCAGAATAGGGAAAATAAAGGTTACTGTGGTCACGAAATTGATTATTTGTTGAATCCATGATGGCCAAGATGAGATTTCGACTTGAAGAACGTCATAGAGCCTGGCATCTGCTTTACAATATACATTGCTGAAAAAAAGAGGAAAAAGAAACTGATAAATATTATGGTTCAGTTACAACACCAGACAGTTTCAGGCTTCAGCTCGATTTCCGCCGCTCTTTCAAGTCCGATCTACGGGTTGGGGTGAGGGGTGCGGGCTCCTTTCACGAACAGCGGCTGGTGAATCGAGCCCATTACAGGCTTAGACCAAGCCTAAAGAGTTAGGTTGCTTCACTTTAAGTCTCCACTGAAATAGCACCCAAGGGCAGTATTAATATCTCATTTAGATTTTTCCACCGTTGTCACCTCTCACTCTTAGTGGCCTCGAGCTCATAGTCTTAGTGTTTTGTCGAGTTTTTGATAAACTTCATTCTCATAATACGTACCTAAAAGGTCCAAGACATGATGGCCTCACGCTGAAAAATACAACAACGAAAATCACATTACACTCACTAGTCCCGTATCTTTGGGTATATATTTTACGCCCAGCCGATAATAAAACTTAATCAGTCACGTGGCATGGCCGAATGACTTTCGGCTCGACTTACAGAGAACTTGGGAACAGAGTTTTTGAAGAACGGACGGCAACCGGAAATTTATGTTATTACTCGTGGGCGCTTTCAACCCTTCCTCAACCCACCAGCAATGCACTCGAGAGTTCTACAAAAGTCGATAACACGAGACAAAAAGAGAACATTGAACTTCCATAGTTAGCTGAACTGCGCGCAGCTCAGCTAACTATGGAGTACACAGATTACACCTTAGATAAATCAGCACTTTGCAAATGCGGACTAAATATAATAATGTCTCAACTGTGAGCGAGGTAGGATCGTCCAAAAAGCAAAGCTATTCTAATGGATGACCCCAGTAGAATACAGTTGCACAGAGAGTAAAAAGAATTTCTTAAGATAAAAAGTATTTCTTCATGCGTTAGGCTATAATTAATAAGTATAATTGACAACCATAGATATAGTGCGCTTTGAGTACAGGAAATGTTTTATATTTTATGGTAATCTGTAGTAACCCATAAAGCTAATGGTTTGTATAGCTTACCCTGCGATGCCCCAGCCGACAGTACCAAGACACAAGAAGAATGAGATAAGAAGTAAAACAGTGAACAAGTGGTTGGAACGAGTTGCTCTGTACGCCTTCTGCGAGGGCCGGTAGTTTAACAGCACTGCAAGCTTAAAAGAAAAAAAAGGTAATTTTAGCTTGTGGTGAGACACGACATGACACACGCCATGCAGGTGGAACCCTTCTACTTTAAGAAGTTCTCTTTTCGTGAAAGTGTACACCAAAAGTAATACTATGTAGCTCTGGGTAAGCATTGCAAGCCTATGATGCTAAATAAGATTTAGGTCTCTGCACGCATTGCGGACCAAAGGTTTATTATGCCATCATGCTGTGCGGACTAATAATGCTATATTATAAATGTTATGTTGTCAAAGAAAACCGGCATTTTATATGCATGTCTCTGACGGCGATGTCATGCATATTCAAATCATATTCATACCTATCTATATCATACTATTCTTACTGAAATGCTAGGTTTTTTCAAGTCGATCACTTGGCTGAACTGGAATTTACAGTGTTTCAAAGATAACATAAGTGCCAAACTCGAGAGAATTTACGGAGTTCTCATGGCTCACTCGATTAGGTGCAAACATGTAGCACGTGACCGGGACCACAATTTTGAGGATAACACCTTGAGAATAAACGGCTGTTATAAATAGCTCAATACTCTTAAACTTGTCCTTCAGGTACATGTAATTCTTTGGTTAAAATGCAACTCATACCAGCTCAACGTAGAATATAATAAAGAGCTTCACAACCCCCATCGCTGGCATGACAGGGCTAAAGAAGGTTCCAATCCTACAAGTAAAAAGAACATT